TTTGGCAGCGAGTCACCGTCACTACAAACTAAAATTTTCAATTAATTTTGAATTTGGAGATTGCATCGCATGGGTACCGTATGTACTTGTTATATTCGTGGAAGATTGCATCGCATGGGTACCGTATGTATCTATTAATTGTATATATTAATTTATATCTTATAGTATGGTATTCTACCAAATTTTAGTTAATTTATAGTACAAGTAAAAAAAAAATTAAAATCTATATATGAAAGATTCCATACTTAAATGTATTAATATTGTACGTAAATATATATTCGGAAATAATAAAACTGGTTGATTACGCAGTTAAAAATTATGGAATGCATAACAAACTCTATAAACGTGTATATTAATTGCAATTTATCCTACATATATTAGGAAATAATATAATTGGTTTCCTATTGCCTTCAACATTTGAATATTAATTTATTAATTTATATCTTATAATATGGTATTCTACCAAAATTTAGTTAATTTATTTATAGTAGAAGTAAAAAAAAAAACTTTAAAATCTATATATGAAAGATTCCATACTTAAATGTATTAATATTGTACGTAAATATTAATTGCAATATCTCCTACATATATTATATCTATAATAAAACCGGTTGATCAAATATACTTAAAAAATAATGAATGCATCGTCTCTCTTTAAACGTGTATATCTCCTATGCGTATATCTCATTATATATGTATATCTCCTACGCGTTGAAAATAATAATATATTACAAAAGATAAAGACTGCATCTAATCTCATTTTGGGATAAGATGTATATTAAATTTATGTGTTTTATATTATATTAAATAGGTTTCTATACATTAATATAAGGAAACAATATAACCAATTGGTGTAATTTATATTATTCAGTTTTTTTTGTACGTAAATACTAAATACAATATTTCATATTTGAAAGATTTGCAGTTAATTCCTAATAATTTTGTAAGTAGATACTTTCGGATGTTTTAAGCAAGTTCCATAAATATTTAATCGAATTCGTTGACCCGTCTATTTCAACCTTATCTTTGCGTTTAACATTTTAAGTATTAATGTATATACAGCTTTGAATAAAAAAAGATTATTAAAATTATTATTTATATACAACTTTGAATAATAACAATCAATATATGCACCGACATTAAATATAATAAAAATAAAATTAATAATAGAATTCAGAATTTTCAACGACATGGAATAACAATAAATATCACAAACTACTAAGAAAGGCGTGCAGAAAAAGCATAGTAAATTGAACAAATATACTTACATCAGTATTTTTTAACGGCTTCTAATCTTCTCGGTCTCTAGCCACTCATTAGATGTGAGGAAAATTTCCCTCGTATTTGAACAAATGGGTCCTTCTATTCAGTGCATTGTACCTCCCGTGATTGAATTCAACATCATAGTTGCGGAGCACATATACCTGGCCCTCTTTAAATACTTCTCGAAATATTGCCATATGCGCTCAACGTATAATACCAACAATATAAATAATTAACGTAAGTATAGAAGTTTTATGTAACAATTCACCATATTGTCATGAAAGACGATTTCCATGAAATTCCTGCACTCCATGTCGAATTGCCTCTCAAAAATTCGGATTACTCTCAGTTTCAAATAAGGTTTGTTGCTACGATTGACTTTGTGGAGTGTATCCCAGACCTGTGCCATTTTTTTTTTGTCTTTTTTCAGTGCATTTGTTTTTATCTATATTTTTTTTCCTCTGTATTTCGATGTGTTTTATTCTCTGAATTTCCTCTGTATTTTTTTTCCTCTGTATTTTTTGGAGAAGATGATAAAAATCCACAACTATATATATATGTATGATTCTCTTTCAAATTAGCGTGCATAAAATAAGGAATAATTGTTTTTTAAATTGAAGAAAAAAAATGCCACATGTTTTAATAATTAGAAAATTTGTTATAGATATATCAGTGCAAATTTGTTATAGATATATCAGTGCAGATTGTGAAACGCGTGATTCCTAATTAATTATACGTGTGAACAGATTTTATTTGCAGTAATAGATATATCAGTGCAGATTGGAAAACGCGTGATCAGATTTTAACTGAAAAGATTTTATTTGCAGTAATAGATATATCAGTGCAGATTGGAAAACGTGTGAATAGATTTTAACTGAAAACGTGTGAATATTTATCTGTGCGGTTTTAAATATTAAATAGGAAACGCGAGGAAAAAAGAAAAATCCGGATTTCATTCCATGAATTATGCAATGCCTGAACAGATTATCGGTTAAGAAAAAAAAAAGGAAAAAAGATGATAAAAATCCACAACTATATATATATATATAGGATTCTCCTTCAAATTAGCGTGCATAAAATAAGGAATAGTTGTTTAGAAAATTTGTTATAGATATATCAGTGCAAATTTGTTAGAGATATATCAGTGCAGATTGTGAGACGGGTGATTCCTAATTAATCGTACGTGTGAACCGATTTTATTTGCAGTAATAGATATATCAGTGCAGATTGGAAAACGCGTGAACAGATTTTAACTGAAAACGCGTGAATATTTATCTGTGCGGTTTCAAATATTAAATAGGAAACGCGAGGAAAAAAGAAAAATCCGGATTTCATTCCATGAATTATGCAATGCCTGAACAGATTATCGCTTAAAAAAAAGAAAAAAGATGATTAAAATCCACAACTATATATATATATATATGATTCTCTTTCAAATTAGCGTGCATAAAATAAGGAATAGTTGTTTTTTAAATTGCAAAAAATATGGCACATGTTTTAATAATTAGAAAATTTGTTATAGATATAAGTGAAGTCCTGGTTACATTGAGATTTTCATTTCATCTTTAGCACCCTCGATCGGATGGTTTTTGAGCCTACATGAGGGAGGGATATAGCCAGTACACTCGATCTACCTATAGTCTGAGAATCCAATGCCCCGAAAACCTAAGGGTTCCTCCGCAAGGTTCGTCCACGGAGGGTGAGAGAGATTCAACAAGGCAAGTAGGAGTGGCCATTCTCGTTCGGTTACATAAATATATCAGTGCAGATTGTGAAACACGTGATTCCTAATTAATCATATGTGTGAACAAATTTTATTTGCAATAATAGATATATCAGTGCAGATTGGGAAACGCATGAACAGATTTTAACTAAAAACGCCTGAATATTTATCTGTGCGGTTTCAAATATTAAATAGGAAACGCGAGAAAAAAAGAAAAATCCGGATTTCATTCCATAAATTATGCAATGTCTGAACAGATCGGTTAATTCAATATTGTAGTTGGAGATTGAATACACCTCGCCTTCGTTTAGTCTACCTCGAAATGCTGTCATATTCGGATAACGTATTATGCATTTAATGAATGTACCCTACGATACAAATTCATAAATATTAATTAAAATAATTTCTCAAATTATATAAAATTGAAATAACGGTAAATATTACCTGTTCATCATGAAACAGTATATGGAATGCATTCCAGCTCTCCCGTTCGTGATGTGTTTCAATAATGCAGACTGCTCTCAAACGCAAAAAAGGTTTGAATACAATGTCTGAATTATGCAATGTCTATTAAATTCAATATTGTAGTTGGAGATTGAATACACCTCGCCTTCATTCAGTGTACCTCGAAATGCTGTCATATTCGGATAACGTATTATGCATTTAATGAATGCACCCTACGATACAAATTCATAAATATTAATTAAAATAATTTCTCAAATTATATAAAATTGAAAAAACAAAGGTAAATATTACCTTGCATTTAATGAATGCACCCTACGATACAAATTCATAAATATTAATTAAAATAATTTCTCAAATTATATAAAATTGAAATAACAAAGGTAAATATTACATGTTCATCATGAAACAAAACAGTATATGGAATGCATTCCAACTCTCCCGTTCGTGATGTGTTTCAATAATGCGGACTGCTCTCAAACGGTTTGTTTCTTCTGTTAACGAAATCAAGTGTACCCCAACCTGGAAGCATTATATTGTCGATGTGAAGAATTGTTCTCTGTATTTTTTTTTCTCTCAACTCGTGAATGATGAGTTGTAATGGTGGAAGTGAATATCCTTTTATACAATTTTTTTTTTCTGCACGTTTGAATTGACCGAAAAAAAAAATGGAATATATTGTTTTTATTCACCAAAAGTGTTTGAAGATATGGATTGTATTTGGATAGATATTAAATTCCATGATTTTGGGGATGCAACAACAAAATATGCAATCATATATAGATATCTTATCACGTTAAGGTATATCCATTGCTAGAAAAAAGGAATATCTAATGCCTTAATTATCGGAATTATCAATTTCGTATTCCATAATCCTTATCACGATTGTTTTTCAAAATTTGATTGAGATTACATAAATAGAAAGTCAAAAGTCAACTTAATTTATTTTAGGTTTCTAAAAATGATTTTTACATCAACCTTTTTAGATATATATAGATATAGATACTTAAATTTAACTCCTTTGCTTTCCAATATTAATGCAATTTGCATCATTTCAAATTTTACCACAAAATAACACAAGATTCCAACTTTATATCATAAATGATATTTATTTATAACAATATATTTCCTACTAAAAATAAAATGGTAATCAGATATCTCAAATAAAAGTGTCCACTTTATATCAAAATCGGATTTATTAGTTTTATCATCTTTATACCATAAATTGATTAATTAACTTATAGAGGTGATGTTTTTTTTTTTTTAAATTTTCAAAACAATTTACTAAGTTAATAATCTTAAAATTCTTAGGCAGAATTTTAGCTTATATTTTAAGTAAATACAAACTTTTATATATATTTGGTTGTTTGAAGTTAGTTTGTAGCTTTAAAGTTCTTTGAAATGATTATTTTTGTCAAAGATGTCTATTTATCTTTGTTTATATTTGCAAGAATCTTTCAAATGTTTATCAGTATATTGTTATTTTTTAAAATGAGGTTTTTATTTTTCACGTGATTTAGTTTTCAAGATTTTACGCATTTTAATATATGTTTCAAATTCTACATATTTGAAACTGTAAACAAAATCGAAAATGCGTGAAATAATAACCGGGCGATAATATTACAAATATATGAAGGCGATAATATTACAAATATATGAAGAGCTGAAATACTTTTTGTTAAACGTAGTTTTTATTTTTTATTATTTTCAATGATCTGTGTCGTTTTTCGAAATTCTTTGTAAATAAGCTTCAAAGATATATCATATTATATACATAATTCGAAACTATTTAGATGTTTTTCGAAATCGTTTTTCGAAGAGAACATGAAATTGGTCAAATTTTTTCAAACTTTTATGTATTTTGTTCAGGGTTTGAAAAAATAAGTAAGTTTCTAACAGATCTGTTCAGCTCTACTAACAAATATATAGGTAAGTTTATAACATATCTGTTTATAACATACATATGTAACTTTTATGTATTTTATTCAGATTTTGAACACAAAATAGTTCAATTCTTTCTTGTCTTTCTCATCATATCAGTAAGTGAAGCTTTGCTAACACTTATTCAAAATCGCTTTTCGAAGTTGTTCAAAGTCTTTTGCCGAAGTTTTTCAAAGTTTTTAATTAGTATTTTGTTCAAAATTTGGAAATATTAGGTAAGTTTATAACAAATCTGTTTAGATATATTTATCGCATATTAGAAATTTCTTGTTTAATGTTTAAAAGAATCTGTAGGAATTTTTATTTTTAAAACTTTTACTCAAAAAATCGATTTTAATATAAAGGCAGATGTCTTGGTAAAAGTTGAATGTGTTGATAATGATAGAGAAATCAAATTATTTTTCTTTCTATATTGTATAGTGTCCAATAATGTTCTACATAATTTGCTGTGTTTTTAATTTTGATTTTTTCATATAGATTTGACTTTTTTTTTTGTTGATTATTAATGATGCTTGATATTTCTATATTATGCAACAATCTGCCATTACATACAATGTCTTGTCAATCTTCATTCTTTGACTTTGCTAATTTCCGTTTAATATGACTTTTCTGTTGTTCAAAGTATAGTTTTTTATGCATTAAAATATTGATGTTTTGAATATGTTTTGATGCTATAATCATGCAGAAATTTGTCCCGCCACTTTTTTCTTAAAGAGGAATTCTTTAATGAAAATTAATCATATTTATATTTATAATTGTGAAATAATATTTTTTTTCACGGCCAACAATTTTTTTTATGAAAAATATGAGACAATTTATTCAGCATACTTTTTAATTTATAAAACAGAATGTTGATTGCGATAATCAAATCTGCAGAAATCATGCATTTTATTGAATAGTAGTAATATAAAATATTTTATTATTACTACCAAATGGAAAGTCAAAGATAGTTAATTTTGCACTATTAATTATGATCATATGGATTTTTTTTGTTCATATGTTTTTTCAATGAACTTTTTAAATGATAATATTGACAATATAGACTTTGCTATAATAATTATATAGACTGTGCTATAATTATAATTTATTTATTTAATTCATTAATTTTTTTTAATTCATCTTATTATGCGTATAGTCTAAGTTTATAAATTATATGTCATTTAAATGTATCTATACTACTAATTTATAAGGTTTTACCATTTGGGGGAGCTAAATTTTTAATTTTAATTATGAAACTAATCTTTCTTATCATTTTGCAACTATATGTTTGATGGAGTATGACTGGAAATTAAATTACAAAAAAAAAAAAATATTTTTTATATTGTAATGTAACATGATCTGTATTATAATGTTTGTATTTAATACATTTATTAATATTTTTTATAACTTTAATTGCTTATTCAATTTATAATGGAATAAAAAAATAATAATATATAGTTTCTGCACAACAATAATGACTGCCACGTTTATATATATAAATGAGAATAAGAAACAAAAATATGAAATTAACTAAAAGAAATCTTTTTTAATTTAGCCATTAACTAATTAGGTTTAACTAAAAGAAACCTTATTAAATGTGGGATTAATGAATAATTAATTAAAAAAATGTAACTCTTTTTGGAAGGAAAATGAAAATGTTTTTTTTAAATGTTTTATTAAATGGAATTAGCTCGTAATTATATATATATATATATATATAGAGAGAGATTCAACGATTTAGGACTGCAGTCATACATGTTGTACCTATTTTTTTTGTTTCTTTTTAATTTTTATTCTATTTTACTTGAACATGAACATTAAGTTACTCTTCGTGTCATCAAATCTGAATGGACATTAATTTTAATTCGAGTTTCATCTCTTTCAATTTGTTCGAACTTGTTCGTCATACAGATAATAGTTTCGAAAACTGTCCATTAGTTTCGAAAACTATTAGTAATGTTTTTTTGTCATTTTCTATTTTATCGGATAACCGATAACCGAATTGATTCAACCGATGAATTTTCGGTTTGGAACTTAACCGAACCGCAAAATTCGGATTGGTTTTCGGTTTTTAGTTTGGACGAACCGAAATTTTGGTTAACCGAAATTTCGGTCGGTTCGGTTTGGTTTTGACCGATTGAACAGCCCTACATACATCCATAAAATCTGCATTGCTTGGGAGCATTTAGCCAACCAATCACTAGGTGCTCCCTTTTCACATTAA